CACTCCAAATGGCCCAAAACGTGCTCCTAAACACTTTCTGAAAAATCCCATACTAGGGCTGACACTTTGAAATTTTCCAACAACCCATCGCCCCATTCGCAATGAATGGACACACTCAAACGGGAATAACTCCGGAACCGAACGTCGCAGACACTTGGAAACGCGCTCCGTCTGCCATAATCCGACCCTTCTGAACACGCAGGACTTGTCCCCGAGTCTCTACGACCTACGGTTGCCGAGATACAAGGATTTTCACCTCTATTTCCGGAATTACGCCCACTTCCGGTTATCACCGGAAGTCGAGACTGACACCCAAAGAAGCGGAAGGAAAAAATGAACAGATTGAACCTGCTTTGAACTCTCTACAACCTTCCTGTGAGGAGAAACATGCTCATTAGACCAATGTCTAATGTTGCACTCATCCCTATTCCTAACCCTAACCCTAACCTAGGAGTTTCCTTTCCTTTCTTTTTATACTCAATTTTTTTTTTTTTCCCCATGTTCTCTTGTCTACAGGTGCAGCTCGGGAAGCAGTCCTTCCCCCCGCTCTCCTCCCCACAATAACTTTTATTTATCATACTCAAGTGCAATTGCATAGCCCACCGGGGGGACCAGTCTAGCATTAACCTGGACGTTCCTCTGGGGGCAACATACAGGATCACCCCCACACACATACCTCACCTTTAACCTGTGTTGCTCCTCCAATCCACAGGCTGCACCCCTTCTTGACTCCTCCCCCTTTTCTTTTTTCACCTATAGTCTTTTTTTCCTCCCCACACCTCCCTTTCCCATAGGCCCAAACTCCACCTGGGCGGCCCCGCAGCTGTGGGCCAACCGGCAGTGAGAGGGTGGCTGATTAGACGGAGAGAGCATTCTCCCTATATAAACCACCCTCTCACACCGTAGTCTGCTTCCTCCTCCCAAACCCCTCTGAAGAAGCGCCAGACAGGCGCGAAACGTCAGGGGTGCCCGCTCTGCCGGATCGCTCGCTGCCTTCAGCCTTTTAATTAGTTTAATTAATTTCACAGACCCTAGTTGGATCTTTTAAATTTAAATTATTAAAAGCTAAGTTTTAACCAACACCCGAGTCCCCACCCACCTGCCGGAGCGCTTTCTCTCTTCTCCGTCTCCGCCGGCTCCTCTGTTTTTGCTGAGTCATGTCTTCCAGGAAACTCACACACGCCGATCGCCATGAGGAGGAACGGAGACCGCGGCCGCAACGCGGAGCAGCATGTATACAGGTGGGTGGCACACACACTCGGGTGCACACTTGGTGAAGGGCGGTGGGCCCCGACACGAGCGTGGTCGGGGGGGAGCAGACAGACCCACAGCTGCACAGCACGGGGCAGGTAGCGGACCCGTAATCACACACGGCACATACAACACCACACACATACCACCCAAACAAGCACTAGACACTACAACCAGGCTAATCGCCAAACAACATTTCAAACTCATTCAGGCAGTACATCACTTAGATAAGATAGAACAGGCACACTCAGAAGGAGAACTTCCATTCGGCATGACACGCCAAATCAATAGAATAGCAGCTTTTATAAAACCATCTTCACCCACACAGGAAACAGCAAAAATGATAATAGACAACACGGACACTTGGATGCAAAACAACATGGAAATTTTAATAAAACATTACACCAACACTATAACACACCTCACCAACAACACTCCAGGAGATGAGATAGCGTTCGCAGCAGCCACAAACTGGGCTAAGAGACGCTATGGTCATAAATTAGAAGATGACACAATTCCTAATACTCACAATCTGCTTTTTCCCGCAGCTTCCGCTTCCTGCCCCTCCCCTCCCTCTTCTCCTTTTTCTTCCCACTCAGATGAGGATTCCTCCACCTCCACTCACTCACCTGAGTTTAACCCCTCTTCATCCCCACATAATCATTTTTCTTTACAGCCTGTGGACACAACTCTAGCCACGGGGAGCTTTTCACTTCCCACTTCTCCCCACTGCCCCCAGAGGACGCTGAACACCACTGCTCCCGTGGATGGCTGCCGGCCTGGAAATAAAATCACACATCCCTTAATTAACAATAAACCAAAACAGGATTTCCAGCCCCGTAGCAGCAGTGCAACACCTACCTGTTCTGTGGCAGACCTGGGTCCGGAGGCAGAGGCGGTTGGCCATCACAACATCTTGTTGCCCGCGCCCCCGGTCCACCAGAACCGGGAGAGCGCTCTCGTTGGCTCGGTGGCGGCTCCACAAATGGCTAGAGAGTCTGTGAAAAACCAGGGGACTAATATGATGAAAAAACAAGGTCACAAAGTCAACATGACAGACCTATATTCTAATTCTGATTTCCCCTCACAGTCTCTCACACAGCCATCGGGAGCGCGCGCCGGGCCGAGCGGCTCTCCCCTCAGGGGCGCGGGCTCCGCGGCGGCCTCTGACCCGGTCTGCCACCAGCCCATCAACAGCAACAAGCTGCGGGGCTGGAACTTTACATTAAGGAAACCTATTGCCATTCTGGGGGACTCTAACATCAACACAGTCCCTAAATTCAACCACCCAGATATCCAGGCCGACAGCTTCCCGGGAGCTTCTTTCTACCATTTCTGGAAAATCTTAGAAAAGACCCCCACCAACTACGATCCGAAGCTGCTGGTCCTCTCGGTGGGCCTTAACAACAGGACTCAGGACCCACATAGCACCTCAATTAAACAACTCAGAACCATGGTAAAAAGGGCTCACTCGGTCTTCCCAAACACACTCATAATAGTACCTGTTATTAACCACTCACCACAGCTACCAGTAGAACAAAAAAACAATTTGGACACAATCAATGATTTTATAATACATCACCTGGCACATTTTCCACCACATCCATCAGAGGAGTTCAACACAACAGCACACAACACACAGTGGGATACAGAGACAGCCAGCCGTATTTTTTCCCACTGGCTTGAACACATACATATTCTACTTTAAGCATAAAAAAACACACACATTAATAAAACCCTAATCACAGTTAACTCACAAACACAATAGACACATTATTGATCAAGTTTACAATATACATCGTTACATCCTGGCACTACAAACTACAACATTTAATTAAAATCCGTTCACAAACCTGAACATCATTGGGAAGGCCGAGCTCGATGTCATATTACTACATCATTTTATCATCAATAATCCTGTAAACATCTAACAACAATAACAACAACAATTACAACTCAACTTACCTCACCGGAGTCCTGTTAGAGGGGAGGAGAGCGGGGGGAACTTGACCTGTATTCCATCAGCCTCCAGACCGGTTTACCAGACCTGAAAATTAATAAGACACATAAATGAACATCAATTTAAATTAAAACATCATATTAAATAAACTTCCAAAGTAAATTATATATCTCTGTCTGTGTCATTTTCTAATCACTGGTTTTCTTTAAATGCAATTTTGACTGTCTGTCTCTACCGTACAACATTTAACAATACGTCTTGAGACTGCCACCTCATATGCATTTTTCCTGAGCTGCACCTGTGACGGATGAAATACAAACACGGAATGAACATCATCTAACAACTCATGTTTATTGTTCTTTTCTGCTGTTTTATTGTTTTCCTCTACCCCCACTAAAAACAAAGTGTGTTATTTATTTATTTATGTATGTTTTTGATTAAGTTGCATTT